AGTTCCAAGGAAATTAAGTTCCCCTCAGGACCATCTAGATTAAGGGCACATATGAGGCCAGGTCTCTGTAGCACATTGAATTATTTTCCAGATACATCCCCATGTAGTTTAAATATATCATTCCTCTGAGGTTCTAAAATTCCTTAGCACAGTGATTTTCAACTTTAAATTTTTTTAGTAGCAGAACCCTGTCTTCAAGTATCAATTGGAACCCCGAAATATAAAATAGAGAGGATCTGCTCCGGTTGAAGTGGGGCTAAGAGTTACTGATCTTCACCAATTTACTCTCCCCCTTGCTCTCCAAGGTGTTCCCCAGGGCATCCCCACTTGGGCTCCAAGTACCACGGTGTGAAAACAAATTGAATAAATCAGTGGTTCCCAAAATGTGGTCCCAAAACCAGAAGCATGAACATCACCTGGGAATGTGTTAGAAACGCAAATTATCAAACCCCCATCCCAGATCTACTGAAATCAGAAATTCTGGGGACAGGACCCAGCAATCTGTGTGTTAGCAAGCCCTCCAGGTGACTCTGATACAAGTTAAAGTTTGAGAATTTACTAAAATAGAGTCTCGTTGAGGAGATGTTGGAACAGTGCTGGGGTCCAGGACTATTAGACAGATCAGGGCTCGAGATTGACATTCCTGGGTACTTGTTATTCCAAGTTTATCTGGAAGACTCTTTACCATCCACCATTCTTTTCATTTTGTGGATTTTTAAAAATTTAATTAAATTTATTGGGGTGACATTGGTTAATAACATTATAGAAGTTTCAGGTGTACAATTCTATAATACATCATCTATATATTGCACTGTGTGCTCACCACCCAGTCTAGTATCCTTCTGTCACCATACATTTGACCTCCTTTACCTTCTTCCTCCTCCTCCTACCCACCTTACCCTCTGGTAACCACCATACTGCTGTCTGTGTCTATGAGTTTGTTTGTTTGTTTGTTAGAAACAAACATCCACCATTTTCTTGTACCTGAGTGAAATTACAGACCCTCTCGTGGTCCAACTTTGCAGTGGCCTTGGTCCTTTTGAGTTGGTTCAATATGTCAGAAATCACTGGGAAGAGTAGAGATTCTTAGATTTAATTTATTAGGCAGAAATAGTGATGTTCCTCATAATTTTTCTTGACAAAAAAACTTCATATCTGAAGCTCATAAAATAATGCTGAGCAAAAGAAGCTAGACATAAAAGTATACATACTGAACAATTCTATGTATAGAAGACATAAAAAAAGGTAACGCTAATATTCAATGAAAGAAGTCAGGATAGGAATTACCCTTTGAGGTTATTGACTGGAAGGAAGCAGGTGAGGGGCCTGACCTATGGGTAATGTTCTGTTTCTTGCTCTGGATGTTGTTTGCAGAGGTGTGTTTACTCTCTAGAAATTCATCAAGTTGTGCCCTTATGATATGTGTATTTCCTGTATATTTGATATACGTCATTACAAGAGTTGAAAGTAGTATTGGGTCACCTGCAGGGGACGGTCAGTGCATTATGACACACAGCTGTGGATGCTGGGTTTCATACTTTCAGAGAGCCTGTGCCTTCACTTCTGGGTGTCACTATACATTTGGTGCAAACCCAGGTTCCTGGCACCAGGTCTAGTCTACTGCATTATGACAATATGAATTATACAGGGGCCGCTGTTTCTCAATTGAAAAAACCTCTTGGTCGATGGCATCCCTGATCAGGATTCCCTGTGGATGAGGAAGGAGTGAGGCAGTTACCTATGTGAAGTGTGGGCTGAAGTAAGTTTCAGCATCTGACTGCTCCAGGAAATGGGAGGCGCTAATATTGGATTTTCAACATGGTTAGACCAAGAAACTGTAGGAAGCGAGTGTCACAGGTGAAAGGGAAATACCCCATTGCTTGACCCCTCATTCTGAGCTCTATAGGTAGATAAGGCCCCGAGTTGTTAGCACCTAGCTTTTGCCTGTGCACATCTGGGCCCAGATCATAAATCAACATGCAGTTTCCCTGCCCTTACCAGCTTGGGGAAGTAGATGGGAGTCTCAGTTAAAGAATTAGCTTAAATTTCACCAGCTCTTGTCCACATCTGGAATTCACACAGGAATTCCAGCCCTCATGTAAAATAACCCAATTGTGTCTGAATGCCCCCAGTAGATCACAAACCAATATGTTTTTGGCATCTTCCACGTTCTCCCTTACTAATTCTGGGCCCCATCTTTGTGCGGTCTGCTCACAAAGCTGCTTAAGAAGTACTTACCTCTCCCCTGCCCTAACCCACTGCTGTTGTGCCCACCATGGGAATGTTGATAAAGGTGCCAGGGGGGGTTAGTTCCTGATCCCCTTAAAGGCCCCAACCATGGAGGTGCCCTCCCATGTGCCAAACATGCTTAAACATGACTGAATCTCCATTTGAGCTCAAGGTAACACATACCTGCTCTGTCCCATGGCGGTGTGATCTGAAAGCAGGCCATGGCTCTATTTGGGGGTTGGTGACAGGTAGGGGTATGGGGCTGGGCTTGAATGGCTCCCCTGTTGCTGAGGGACAATGGTGTTCTCCAGAGGAGGTGCATGCTTCAGTCAGGAAGTGCCAGGTACAGCTGCTCCCTCTGGTGGTCTGTGCCTTCCACCAGTAGAGACGGGAGGTCAGCTTCAGCAGTCTCGCGCCATTGATATCTCTTAGAACCATTCCTGAGTGCAGGGTATTTAAAAGACAGTTTCTGTATCAGACAAACCCAAAATGAGGAACGTCCTGTTAAAAATGCTAATGCCATACAAGATGAAGAAAGGTTGTGGAAGTGTTCCAGGTTAAAGGAGGCTAAAGAGACATTATAACTAAAAGCAACTCCTCACCCTAGACCAAATCCTGTAATGGAGAGGGAAAATGCTATAAAGGACATTATTGTCTCAACTGACAAAAATTGGGAGTACAAATGGTAGATTAAATAATAATATTGTACCAGTGTTAAATTTACTAAAGTTGTTAACTATACTGTGATGTAGAGAATATGCCTATTCATAGGAAATGCACACTGAAGTACTACAGACATGAAGGGCTATGATGTAATTTACCCCCCATATGGTCCAAATATGAGAAGAGGAGGAGGAGGAGGAGGAGGAGAGAGAGAGAGAGAGAGAGAGAGGGAAAGAGAGAGAAAGAGAGAGAGAGGGAGAGAGAGGGAGAGAGAGGGAGAGAGAGAGAGATCACAAGCATACATACAAACTATAAAGCAAATGAGGTAAAGTGTTAGCAATAGGCAAATCCGGTAAAGGGGATGCAGATGTTCTTTATACTATTTTTATTTTTACAACTTTCCTGTAATTTTAAAATCATTTCCAAATAAAAATGTTTTTAAAATGTAAAAGACCCTTTCTGTGCAAGCAGTCAGAATCTGGTGGCACATGCCTGACTGAAGTGGCCGAGAAGAGGAATGAGGGCATGGCTGTCTTCCCAGGCAGGGCTACCAGACATATCCCAAAAGGCAGACACCCAGTATGAGTTTGCCAAGTGGCATCCGAGGCCACTCGTCTCTTGATCTCCCCCATCCTACAAGATATCAAACATAACACTTTTTACATTTTCTCCTGAGGATTATGGGCCCTGGGTACTGGTGAAAGTTTGGTTATGAGAGGAAGGTGTATTGGTTCATTCATCCATCCAGTAAATGTTTTGAACATCTACCTACTATGTGCCAGGAACTGTGCTAGGGGCTGAGGATGCAGCCCAGGGTACAATAGGAGACACAAGCCCTGTATAAAAAAAAAAATCCTATGAGCTAGTTGGGGATGCACCTATAACCACTTAAATAAATGTATATTTCTAAATGAGTTGACCACGAAGTAGACTTAGGAAGCCCAGCCTTTTACCAGAGCCCGTGGATCAAGTCCCACAGGTGTGAGACACATTGTTTTCCCTCCAGGATTTCCTAGTTTATAGGCACTTTTGTATCTGATGCTGAGAATACTGAACCACCAGTGCTTTCCCCAACCTGGGCACAGCCCATCTCTTTTGGCTTAGCTCTCTAGGTCACTCTGCCCTCTGTGAGAACCAGGGAAGAGGCCAACATGCCACTCCATCAATATCCCTGGGCTGGTGAGCTCGCAAGTTTTGGAAAACAGTCTTTCTACTGATCTGTGCCTGCAGGTGAACTTATCAGCTACACCCATAATGCCTGTGGAAGGCAAGGACCACCAAACACTCTCATGTGGAATCTTGGCAACCTAGTGGCCCTAACAGTCCCTTCCCTGGGGTGCTGAGTAAGGAAAACAACACAGCAGTCTTCCAAATGGACAGAATGACTTTTGGGGACAGTTGTGATTCTCCCCCCAATCCAGGGTGTGGCACAAACTATGGTGCCCTCTACACAGGGACAATAGTGGAGTCTTTTGCCTTGAAGCTCCAAGTAGGCAGTGTTTGGGAGGGAGTTGTGTGTGTAACTGAATGTGACATGATGTGTCTCCATTCTGTCCATGGGTCTCAGGTAGGACTGACCCTTACGTCTGATGCATTCTGGTCCTAGTCCAAAGAAGTTTCAGACCCAACAAATGTTTACTGAGCCCCTACAAAGTTCAAAGCCTTTTACTTTATACTTTGACACATTTTATATCATTTAATCTTTAACAATAACCCTTTAAGGTAGGGATTATCTGCATTGTACAGATGAGAAAACACTTGCAAAGAGGTTCATTGATTTGCTCAAGTATATCATACAGCTTTTTTTTTAACACACACACGATACTCTTAGCTGAGGCCTGTCTGTGTTGGTTGCTTATCTTACAGTATTTCTTGTCTTCTCTGCTATTGGAGCCATTGCTCCCCTTATACAAGCCCCTTTATTTCTTCTCTTTTCACTAGCCCATGTGGGCTTTTATTTTTTTAATACTGCATTTAATAGCACAAAAAATCACGAATACAAAGAAACTGGCAAAGGTGTTTGTCAATGAGATATCCCTGCCTCCTCCACTTTTCCGCTTTCATACCCATATATGTAATGGGCTACATTTGTATAAACTTTTCTTTTTCCCCCCCAAACATATAACTGTTATATAATTGGTCAGTTGAAGCTGAAACACCCATGGAGAAAGATGTTTTACGGTTACAAGGGCACACCCCCCCACACACCACCCCCCTCCCACCCCACACTTCCCCACACAATCTTTTGGAGGAATATAGGATATGTACCAGTGTCAGGATCTCCCTGCGCCTGCCTTCCTCTCCCAGAGCATTCCTGCCATTTATTTTTCCTTCAAGTGACTGCTTAGACTAGAGCCTCTTCTCCCGACCCTTCTATTTCTCTTCCAATCAGGACCTTTTAGACACCGGGTACTGTTCAGTTCTTACTCTGTCAGGCCCATGGGCCATGCAAGTAGGTCCTTTCAATCTCGATGCCAGTTGTAGTATAGGCGTCATCATCTTCCATTACAGGTAGGTCTGTGTGTCAATTCAGTAGGCTTGTGTATTCATTTCTTTCACTTTTTCTGACTCATGTTCCAGCACCTGTTTGTGATAGAACAGTAAATACCCTTCACTGTCCAGAACATCCTTAATACTGGCCTTGGTGATAACAGCATCATCACACTTGAACCACTGGTCCTTGTGGTGCCGGATGAAGCTGGTGTAGTGGCCACTCTCCAAGGTTCCTTGGTGATTAACCACAGCAAACAAGGAGTACTTATTCTCATCGTTTCCACTACTCGTTGGCAGCTGCAATTGTCCATTCATCCTGCTCTCTTTACTTGAGGCCATAAACGGTGTCATATCCAGCTCCAAAGGAAAGGATATGAATGTAGTGATCTTGCGCCTTTGTTTGGCTGAGTGTTCAAACCGTTTGAAATGAAAACAGGCAACAACAGGTAATTTATTCATTGTGAGCTGTTTGGTAGATTCCTGGTAGCTTTGGCAACTACCACATTTGATTTTGGCACTGCTTCCTAGGTGCTCTGGCCTTGTAAACCTTCGCAAGCAGTCTGTGAGTGTGGTGGTCCCTGGTATGTGGCTTTCCCCATTCACACTGCTCTCCCTCCCTGGGCTCATGGGCCAGAAGGAGGTGCAAGAGCCAGGCAAGTCCAAACTGATGTCCCAGCATGGGTCTATTGTGGTGGAGACGCCATGGCAGGCTTGACAGGTGACATCGGACTGTAGGCCACCTGTAAAAATTTGGTCTATGATGCAGTTACAGTGGTTGGGGTTGTTGGCCACCTTCCCGGCATCATCACCTTTGCAGTGCCGATGCAGGACATCTAATGCTGCAATGAGGAACTCGTGGGCATCCTGTTGCCTGTACCCTGCTAAATGACGTGCGTGTATCCATACCAGGTGCAGTAATTTATAGGGAACATGAGGAGATGGGTTTCCAGAATACAACTCCCGAAAAAGTGAAGACATCTCACAGACCAGACATAACTCTGGACTTGGCATTTCACATCTGTGCCTGTCAGAGAGGAAAAAATCTCTCAGGATCGGAGTGTGGGTCAAGGCCTGGACGATGCAGTTCATAAAGCATGTGTTGCCAAGATTGATTAGTCCTCTTAAACCGATGGTAAAACTGGAAGTGATTCTTCTTCTCCTTGGGTTGTGTCCCAGCAGTTCTAACTCGGGTTTGGTTGTCTCCCAGGTTGGGTATTTCTCACCGAGGCGGGGCACTGAACACTGCTGGTGAGAAAACTCCGTTGAGGTGGAGGCTTGTAATTTCAAAGCTTCTCCTTGCTCTTCTTTGGCAATTTGCTCAATGTCTTTGTCATATACGTAGTCCTTACACATAAAGCAGTATATACCTCCATAGTAAAGGTCTACAGCTAAGTTGTGTTGTTTCGTCTCGGCATGCTCATGAATGTGTTTCTCCGTGAAGCAGCCAAAGAAGACACAGGAAAGGCAAGAGTGGAGTCTGTTCAGATGGGTGCTGCACACATGGCAGATGCACGACTTTGCCTTGCTTTTCCTGGTCTCTGGGGTTCCACACCACACGAAGCACTGGTAGATCACCCGCAGTTCCTGCCTCCAGTTCTCTCCCACCTTAAAGCTGTTCACGTGGGAACAGCCTGGTGGACCCACAGCGAAATCCACATCCAGGCATCCGCCCCCAGGGCCGCGCCGGGGCCGGGGCCGGGGCGGGGGCCGTGGCCTAGGCTGCGGCGGGGTACGGAACCGGGTCTGCGGCCGCGGCCGGGGTCGGCGGCGGGGGGCACGGCTGCGCCGCGGAGAGGGATCAGGGGGCCGCGGAGGGTCGGAGGGAAGGGTAGGGGGAGGAACCTCGTCGCTGCTGCCGCCGCCACCGCCGCTCCGCGCTCGGTTCTCATCCTCCAGCTCCTGCTTCGGCTCCCCCTTCGGCTCCTGCTCCGCCTCCCGTACCGGCTCGGGTTCGGGCTCCAGCTTGAGCTCAGCCCGGCCGCCCGGTCCCTCCGCCAGCTCCACCTTCCCGGTGGCGTCCACCTTCCCCGCCGCCTCCACCTTCCCCTCCACCTTCGCCTCCGCCTCCACCTTCCTCTCCGCCTTCTCCGCCGCGGTCTCCGCCGTCTCCGCCTCCTCTACCTCCTCCGCCTCCACTGGCGGCGGCTCCTCCCCCTGCTCACTGGGCTCGGGAGGCCACTGGGCGTGGCGGCGCGGGGGGCCACGCAGACCTGGGGTGTCCCCCGCCCGGCCTGAGGGAGCGCGGTGGCTGTGGCAGCTGGACCCAAAAGGGACTTTCACTGGAGGCGGCGGCGGAAGCAGGCGACGCCCCCGGGAATCCTCCCGCCGTAGCCCCCTAGCGGAGGCCGCTTCTGCATCCAGGCCCCGTTTCCTTTAATTCAATATTTCCCAAACTTGCTTGTTCCCGAGAATCACGTGGGAGCGTGTTAAAATTACAGATTCCTCGGCTCCACCCGCAGACCCATTGAATCAGGATCTCGAACGGAGGTGCTCCGGAACCTGTATCTTTAACTAGAGCCCGAGAGGATTCTTATGATCAGGCAAGTTTGGGAAACACAGCTCTAATTCATTGAGGCTGGCGGGAAGGGGGGCGGGGACCGCGCAGTCTCTTTAAGGCGCTTCCAGTTCTCGGCTCCAATCGCTGCTCCGACCCCCTTCGTCGTCTCCTCCCCTCTCCTCGTCCTTCGCTCCGTCCAGACGGCTTACCCCAGTACTGCGGGGCCAGGGACACAGGGGTAACCCAGTCCAGAAACGTGTCTGGGGCTGTGAAATGTCCCCTCAGAGGCCAGGTCCTGAGGAGTGCTGGCAGAAGCTGTGATAGGCCATCATCTCTGCAGCTTAGCCTGCCCGCAGCCCTGTCCCAGGCTCCTCTCCCACTCCAGGTTCTGCCCCCTGCCCGATAAACATGAAGCTCCAACTCCATTCTGGGGCAGGCCTAGACCCCAGATTCCCAGGGGCAGGACTTCCGAGGCCGCTGGGCCTGAGGAGGCACGTCCCTTTGCCCATCTTATCGGTGCTCTGCCGAGGCTGTGTCTGCTCCTCGCCTCCTGCTCGGGCTCCCAAGGCCGCAGGTGGGTTGAGGGTTTGGCTCCTGGCCTTCTGGCACAGCAGACACTGGGCAGCCCGGGGGCAGCGGGAAAGACCAGGCACAACAGCGGCATGCTTACAGCTGGCACCTCCCCTGGGGCTGAGAGAGGGGCCTGAACTACAGGACCCCACCCCAAGACCCTCAAGCCCTAGCAGCTGGGAGCAGGGGAGGGGGCAGGCCTGAGTCTGAGGGCCTAGGGGAGCTCCTCCACTGAGAGCTGCTGACAGTGGGCAGCAGCACGATAGGGCCCACGAGGACTGACCTCAGTCCTGGGCGCGCTGGGCGATGTCAGGGAGCGGCCACAGGTGCTGGCCACAGCGAGGGCAGCCCAGGGCAGGCGTCAGGATGGGGCTCAGAGAAGTAATAGCCAGTGCTGGAGGATCAGGGAGAGTGTGTTCTAGAAGTGTCAGTCCCTGAGTCTTGGCGATGGCTGGCCTTGGCCCAATACCCACTGCCCAGCTTCTGGGGCTGTGCTGCCTCATAACACCCTAGCACAGTTCTCCTTGATTAGCATGGGACATCACCCCTCTCCCTGGCCTCTTTCTCCAGGGCAGGGGGTGCCCAGGCCTCCTGGAGTTGTTTGTCAGGAATCGGGAGCCCTTAAGAAGGAAAGGATGTCTAGTTCCCACAGAGCTGAGGTCTCCAGAGCTGCCCTGATGCCTCCCCTCCCTAAGCCAACTCTTGCTTCAATTCCTTGAAGCACCTCAGCATCCTTCCAGTAAATCCTGCCCTGGTTGTGGTCTGCAACCAGAGGAACTGCAACTAGCTCACCCACTGAAGGAATCCTGCTTCTGCTACTGCTGCTAAAAATGACGGAAGTCATGGAGCGGGTGTGGAAGGACAGGAGGCACCCTCATCCCACCTCCACAGAGGAACAGACATCAAGGAGGACTAGATTTCTGTGTAGCTGAGACTGTCTACCACTGAAGACACCATGGCAACCTGACTGCCTTACCAATCAACTTCCTGCAGAAGCCCACAGGTCCAGCATGTTCTGAAAGTTGGGGGCTCTGCAATCAGTCACTCAACAAATGTCAGCTCCAACCCAGAGCCAGGTATTGTACTAGGAGCTGTGGACACATCCCTGAACTAAACAAACTTGCCCAGGGCCAGAATCAGGGCTGGGTTCCCCAAAAGTCAGCCTAAGGAAGTGTGTAGGTTACCAGAAAGAGAAGAAGTACCAACAACAATAGAATCAAGAAAAAAATATTGGAAACAGTTTGACATTAAAAAAAATAGCCCTTATGGGAAAAGTCAGAATTTTGTTGTGCTTCCTTACATTCCTTTCCTGATTGCATGTTGATTTTGCTCTGAATCACATACAGGGGGTGTCAGCATAATCTTTTTCATGCTTAGTATTTGTATGGGTCTGGAATCAGTCCAGGGCAAATGTCACCATTCTGCCTCACAAAGACCGAACTGTAGGCTAGCAGAGGGGCCACCTAAGGAGAGACCCCTCCTCACTGCAGTCACAGTACCTGGGCTTGGATACACCTCTGAATACGAGGTGGCAAAAGAGTATATGACAGTCCCTTGAATATTTGTTTTATATGTTTATATAAAACTGTTGGCTTATATCAAAATACTTTCTAAAAATGTTTTTAACACTGTGCTCTACACATTGTGACATCTAAAATTGTGCATCAAAAATGTCAGCTGGAAATAATGTGATTTCTAACAAATATTAACATTCACAAACAAAACTGTTACATCATGATTCTACATGAAACCAGTGAAACCTAAATACCTTAGTGATTTGAGAGCCACCATTTTCTGTTTTAAAAATCCATAACCGAGCTCTTCTTTGATAGTTGCAAGTTGTGCATTTTCCCATTTCTCTCTGAGTTCTTAATTCTATTCTAGTTCTTCTAACATAATTTCATCCCAATAATATATATATTTTTTCACTTGAAATGATTTTATTGATTATCTTATTCCCCTTCAGCAAAAATGTGTATATTTCTGCTATTTAAATGTGTTTTAAATGTTCCTGTGTTCCTAAAGCTCTAAATGTTGTTAAAAAATGTACTCTTGCTTGTGTTTTGACAATTAGTATTAGAATATAATGGATCAAAACATTGTAAATATATTACAAATTTTGAAAGGTAATTATTAAACATAAAACAAAAATTTATTACAGATAGATTTTTTTTTACCTTAGTGGGTGTATCCATGGATAAATATTGCCTATTGCTAGAATTAGACAGGATTTAGCATCAATTCTCTTCCTATTTTTTGCTTGGTTAAATGTTAGCACACAGAAACCTCGTTTATATAAATAAGTCAGTGGGAATGAACGTTTTGTTTAAGCAATGTCACTCAAGTCTTTGAATTCCTTTGGAGATATATGGGGGGGGATTACACAATGATTTATCTTCAAAATTATTTTTCATGATTTATCAGCTGACAGCTCCTTTGGGTTCTCCTTCAATTTTATTGGAAGCAATCTAAGTTGCAAAAAGATTTGATCCCCATTCATTTGTTAGAGCAATTTGTTTCTTCTTCATTGACAGCAGTATTTGGAACTGTCTCTCTGGTGCCCTGAGGATTTTACACTGCAAGGCAGTGCACCCAGGTAAGAATCAGGATGGGTAAAAGATAGGCTTTCCTGTTGTAAAGTGCAAAAAGGACTGTTATGAAAAGGGACATGGAAAAAAGAGAACCAGCTTTATTCCTCTACCGCAAGTTTGTTCTCTGGCAGATCAATTTTAGAAAATATGAAATTTGAGGTTGTAGAAATTGATCCCCTTAAAACTCTAAGTGCTTTATTTACCCCGTAGAAAGTCTTCCTGTACCCACAAGGTAATCACACTCCACTTTTAAAGTTGCTGGTTTATATTTATTATTATAAAAGTAATATATTCAATATTTGTGGTTTTAAAAAGGTAAAGAGGGCATAATATGAAGTTAAAGACCCTCTTTCCCCTGCCAATCACACCCAGTTCTATTCCCCTGAAATAACCACTTGTTAACAGTCTCTCATGTATCCTTTGGGAAATTTTCTGTGCAAATACAAGCATGTTTTTTTACATATATCCTTTTTATGAAATAGAAATGAGACTAATATACATATTGATCTACAATTTAGCACTTGTATAGTGGACATCAGGCAGTTCTCTTTAATTGACCTACATGTCCAGTGCAATGCCAATAAAAATTCCAGAGAGTTTTTGGAGGGAGAATTTTACAAGTTAATATGGAAGGATAAAAGACATTTTCCCCCCTCCTGTTTCTCCTTCTTCCTGCCTGAAATGAGGATTTAATGGCTATAGTTGAGAAACCATCTTACAACCAAAAAACTGACTACCTCTGGACATATTCTTACATAAGGGAAAAAATGCCATATTTTACCAATTCTAAGAGGGACATCTTGTCATGTTTCAACACCTCTGAAATCTTTGAATGACAGTTTAATGATTATATCTGGCAACATTTTTTTCTTTCTTAGTGGTACATAAATAATGGTGTGCTCTCCAGTTGATAGTGTCTTAGACTCAATATAACACTCGAAACATCATCCAATTTGAGCCTTTGTTATCTGGATCCTGGTTATGTGTAGCTTAATACAATTCCTAAGTGACAGATGGTTTTCTATTTCACTTCTGGTGAAGTCTGTAGTCCTTGTCCTGGTCTTTAAAGCCCTACAGAATCTGGTCTTGGTCTCTTAGACCTCACTTCTTATTAACTCAGCCTTGCCTCAAAGTAAATTTACTGCTCTTCCTTGAATAAGCTAAGCTGGTTCCTGCTTCCAAGCCTATATCTTTATTGTTTCCTCTGCTTGGAAAACTCTTCCCCTAGAAATCCTCATGGCTTTCTCCATCGCTTCTTCAGATTGCTGCTTAAATGTCACCTTATGTCAGAGTCCTTCCTTCACCTCTATATGAAATAATATTCCATCCCTCCTTCATCTTTCTTCAAAACACTGTCACCGCATGATATATTAAATGTTACAACACACACACACATATAAAAATTACTATAATGTAAATTCCATGAGAGTTAAGATGCTCACTATTCTATTCCCAATGCCCTTTCTGCACTTAATACATATTTAAATATTTGTGAAATAAACAAATGCATGTTTTTCATTATGAGTGAAGTCGACCATATTTTCATATGTTTACTGGCCATTTTGTATTGCTCTTTTTTTGTGAACTGCCTATTCATATTATTTGCCTCTATTTCTTTTGGCTTCTTATTAACAATAATAAGTAACACTTATATGGCATTTGAAGTATGCCAACAGTTGTTTTATTAAATAGGTTTAGCCCTCACTACAATTTATAGAAGTAGGTGCTGTCATCATCCCCATTTTACAGGTGGGAAAACTGAGGCAAAGAGGGAGTGAGTGACACCCAAAGTCACACAGCTAGTGAATGATGGAACTGGGATTCAAACCCAGCAGTCAGAATCTAGAGTTTGAACTCTTAACTACTAAGCTTCCGCACCTCTGGCTGTACCCCTTCAGACTGCTGCCCCATTTGACTTACACTTTTGCTTCATAATGTGAGCTTCCCGCATGCTGGCACAGCATCTGACCAGCCACCTGTCTTACCCGTCTTACCCATCTTTTAGGAAAACCCTGGAATCCTCAAATCTGCGTCCAGTGCCAGAGGTTGACCTTGTGGGATATCGCATGGCCCCAGGACTGAGCTTAGAGGCACAATGAAGTTTTACTTTCTCCAGTTTTACTCATCAAAGTGTGGAATTTCACTTCTGTATTTGTCCAAAGTGTCTCTTTCAATTCTGAAGGGTGGGACGGGTACATCTTGTTATATTGTACCAAAACTGGTAGTTAAAATTTCTAATCACATTTTATTTTTCAAAATATTGCTGTTTTTTATTTATTTTCAGTTATTACTTATTTACTTTTATTGATATATATTTAACATATAACATTGTGTAAGTGTAAGGTGTACAACATGTTAATTTGATGTATACATGTTGTAATATGATTGCCATTGTAGTGGTAGTTAGCTCCTCTATCACTTCATATAATTATCATTTCTTTTTTGTGGCCGGGATAATTAAAAATCTAGTCTCCTAATAAGTTTGATGATTATAATACAATACTTTTGTCTATATTTACTATACTGTACATTAGATCTTTAGGGCTTATTTACTACTAGTTGCAAGTAAATCTTATTCCTTTTAAAACCACAAAAAGCAGTACAGACAAAATTATATAACCTCAATAGAGGGAAATTTAGCAATGTCTAGCAAAATTACATATGTATTCACTATTTGACTCAGTAATCTCACTTCTAGGAATACAACCCAAAGATACACCAGCAAACATACAAAATGACATATGCATAAGGCCATTCAGTGCAACACTATGTGTAATAACAAAAGGCTGGGGAAAAAACAACAAATGTCCACCGCCAGGAGACCAGTTGAATAAATTATAGTGGACCATAAAATGGAAAGCTGGAAAAAAAGATTTTTAAAAATAAAATAAATACTATGGAATGAGATAGATTCCTATATAATGATTAAGACTAAATATCTGGGATATATTGTTAAATGGAAAAAGCGAAGTATGGAACATTGTATATAGTATGCTACCTTTCATGTAAGACAATTAAGGAAATACAATATTTACAGAAAAATTATGAACTTATGATTTATTTATTTTTCTCTTTCTAAAAAATAAGTATTTTCTAGATTTGTCCACTGAAAAGACATAACAGCAATGGTAATCTAGTAGCCATGAGTATGTCTAATGCCCAGATTGCAGTCTCTAAAATAATTTCCTGCTAAAACAAGCCAATCTGCCTTGGAAAAATCACAGATCTGTAACAGGAAATGTACAAAATGAGCCTGGGACATCTTGTTTTGCCAAAAAGCAAGGGAGATATCAAAGACAAATGTAATCATGTCAAAAGAACACAGGGTCCAAGATGAAGGGGAGTTCCCATAATTGTCTATATTGAGACAATTAGAGCATCAAAAATCTGCAATCAATCATGTATCAAAATGTACAAAATACATGAGTTCATAATGACATTATAAAACATTGGTCACCCCTGGGTGATGCTATAGCACCAAATTGTTATTGCAAAAATTAATAAAAGGAAAAATCAAAAACTTATCCCACCTTTCCTATAGGAACTATATTTTAGGGTAACCAAATAGTTAATGATATTCTTCTTTATGCAACAATTTCAGAGAGCAAATGCAGAAGGAATGGTAGATTAGTAAATCACCAATTATAGTCCCTAATGAAATAATAAATCTAGGCCGTATTTTCCCAACTCCAACACTATTGACATTTGGGGACAGGTAACTCTTTATTTGGGATTTGGGGGCTGTCCTATGCATTGTAGGATTTTTAGCAGCATCTCTGGCTCCTACTCATTAGATGCCATTAGCACACTCCCCTTCCCTAGTCATGGCAATCAAAAATGTCTCCAGACATTGTCATATGTCCTCTAGGGAACAAAGTTATCTCTGGTTGAGAACCACTGATCTAGGGCAATGATCATGAATGGATAAAAAGAGATTAGGCAAAATGATGATGGGGAACTTTACAATGGAGGGATCAGGTTGAGACCACCTGAACCTCCTGATCAATTTTTACATCACTAAGAATAAGACAGCTACATATGCGCCTCCTGATGTGATGCAGTAGGAAGCATACAGCATCACCTATGATATATTGATGCCAAAAATAAAAACTGAACTTAAATCTAATCAAGCTATAGCTCTAACTCTCATTTTATGGTGAATATAGGAGATAGAAGAGCAAGCTCAATGTCACCACTAAGAAAGAAACATTCAGCCAAATCCAGAATATGGAATATTTTATAGGAAAAATGATCTTTTTTTTAAAGATTTTATTGGGGAAAAAAAAATAAATAAATAATAAAGATTTTATTGGGGAATTGGGGGAGAGAACAGTATTGGGGAATCGGGGAAGGGGAACAGACAAGTTGCTGTCCTTTTGTTTTTCAGTCTACCTGTGGAGGACGTCGCTTCACTGGACCATGTTTGTATTGTGATCATTGCACTCTTTCCGGCTGAGGCAGATCAGTCAGTGGTCTTTGGATGGCTACTCACAGCGGCTCACGGCAGTTCACACTGGCTGCCGGCTGCTCATGCTGCCTGCTGGCCACTCACAGTAGCTTACAGCAGCCCACTGAAGCCACACTGCAGCCTACACCATGGCGGGCGACTCACAGTAGCCCAGATTCAGGTTGAGCTGTTGTTCACCATCTTAGCTGTAGAGGGTGCAGTGTCACTGGCCCATGTGGGATCCGAACCGGCAGCCCTGCTGCTCAGAGCTCTCGTTCCCAAGCCAACTCTTAACCAACGAACCACTGGGCCTGACCAATGATCTGTTTTCAATCATAAATGACATTTTAAAAAGGATGAGGAGGTCTATAATGTCTGATCTCGAAGTAAACTAGAAAAATATCTTGGCAGAAAATATCAAGGAAAAGAAAACAAATAAAAAAGGATGAGGAAAAAGAAGATGGGAAAGTTACAGATTTTTTCTAGCTTTATTGAAGTGTAATTGACAAATGAAAATTGTATATATTTAAGGTGTACAGATTGATGTTTTGATATAAGTATAGATTTTTAAAAGAGCTAACAACCAAATGCAGTGTTACATTTGGTTTTGATCTTATTTTTAGAAAATCAATTTTAAAAACACTTCTTGAAACAATCAGGGAAATTTGAATATAAATTAGTATTTAATTACATTAAGGGATTATTGTTAATCAGCAAATTGTGATAATGGCATTATGGTTATGAAAAATTATGTTTTTCTATTAGAGATGCACACTCACATTGAGTGAGATCATAGTATATCTCGGATTTGAGTTAAAAGACTCCAACAAACCTTGGAGTAGAGGAATAAATGAAACAAGATTGGCAAAATGTTGAAAATTTTTGAAGCTGAATGAAGGGGATTCTTTCTACTAATCTTTCTATTTTTATGTATGTTTAAATTTTTTTCATAATAAAATGAAATTTTAAAACAAAGCAAGTGACACTTCTGTTTCTGGAAATATATACTAGATGTACTTCTCCCTATTCTTCCAGCTAAGCATAGTTTAAAACCCTGGGCACTGTATATAAAACAACCCATAAGAAGACTCTGGGGCTGGCCAAGTGGCGTGTTGGTTAAGAGTTGACTTGGGGGGCATCCAGTCAGGACCCCCTCTCGTTTCGAGAGCTGTAACTTTCTGCTCTAATAAAATTATCCTCTGCTACAAACTGTAAAAAAAAAAAAAGTGTTGGCTTGGGACACCAGCTCTGAGCAGCAGGGCTCCGGTTGGGATCCCACAGGAGGGCCAGTGACACTGCTCTCTACAGCTAAGATGGTGAACAACAGATCGACCTGGGGCTGGGCTGCCATGAGTCACTGGCAACGGCATAGGCTGCAGCCCCTGCTGCGGTGGACTGCTGTGAGCCACCAATGAGTGGCCATCCAATGGCTGGCGAGCGACTGCCTCACCCAGGAAGAGCACAATGATAATACCAACATGGGCCAGTGAAGCGACAGTCCTCCACAAACTAGATCAAAAGGACAGCAACTTGTCTGTTCCCCTTCCCCGATTCCCCAACACTGTTCCCCTCCCCCCAATTCCCCAATAAAATCTTTTAAAAAAAAGAAGAAGACTCTGAAAAGTAGACAGAAGAAAGCAGACTGGCTATAGACCTCAGAACACAAGGAATGACACAGCAGTGAGGTCCCTGCAGTTTGTTTTGCCTTATATATCTTAGAATGGGTGCTGAGAAGGTGAAAACCTGAAAACATCAATGGGCATAGGCCAAAAAGGAAAAAAAAAAAGCTTAAAGAAAAGGCTGCTCTCTCTAGGCAAAGAATTAGGAAAGAGGAAACCTTGCAAGACAGAAAAGTTTTAGATAATAACCACTCTACTCCAACCAAACACCACAGAAAAAAAAATGCAGCACCACCTATGCCAACAAAGGCCCAGTGGGGAACTTAGACTTCCTCCCTGGGCAGGCTGTAAGAAGTCAAACCCCCTGCCAGGATGGTGTTAGAGAAGGGCAAGTTGGGAGCCAGATCTTTCATTCCTACTGGGCAGTAACAAGCCCCCTATAACACAGTGTCAGTGGAGACTATATAATAGAAACAAATGAAAAATTTGTAGAAACAAATAGAAAGTCTCATCAAAGAAATGGAAGATATAAAAAAACAAAATGGAATTTTTAAAACTAAAAATTTCAATAACTGAAAAATTTAAAATTAATAGATCGGTTCAACAGCAGAATGGGAGAGACAGGGGAAAGAATCAGTGAAATTGGAGATAGAACAATAGAAATTATCCAGTGTGAACAACAGAAAGAAAAGAGCGGGGGGGGGGGGGGGGGGGGAGTATTTAACAAAATTCAATGCCCATTCACAATAAAAATTCTCAGAAAATTAGAAATACAGTGGAAATTTTGTAAAGAACACCTACAAAAAAACAAACAAAAATCTATAGGTAAATACTTAATGGTAAAAGACTGAATGTTTCCCCCCTAAGATTGGGAACAAGGCAAGGATGTTTGTTCTCATCACTGCTATTTAATATAGTACTGGAAGTTCTAGCCAGTACAATAAGGCAAGAAACAAAAATAAAAGGAACAGAAATCAGAAAAAATAAATAAAGCTGTGTTTTCAGATGACATGATTATCTAGATCAGGGGTCAGCAAACTGCGGCTTGTGAGTCACATGTGATTCTTTGGGTCTGTTTCATCTCAAAAGTTTGCTGACCCCTGGAAGAGACAATCCTGTCCCTCACAACAATTTAAAAATTATTCAAGAGCCATAAATATATTTTTACATAATCACCATTACGTGAATAATATCCTTTAAAAATTTTATAAATGAAACTA